GGCCTATCAATTGCCAGATCTTCACATTGTATGTGTACTTAGAAAAAACACACATTTGGTGATGTTCTAAACCAAAGGTGACATAAAATAGCACAGTATTTGGTTCAGGGCGTGAGCGTCTGAGGCCGCCCAGCGGCCCCGCTCTGCCTGCGCGCCCTTTCCTGCCGCCTGGTCGGGGCCTGGCACTGCCAGGCCCACAGCTTGGGGCTGTTCTTTACTTCCAAGCTGAAGATGGTTTATGAGAATGGAATAATTTTGACTATATTTGTTTTGTAGTTTTCAGCCTTTCAATTGTTTCCTCACCGTGGATAAAGGCTGTGGGCACAGTGGCTCCACGTGCGACCAGGGGGCAGGTTCTCATGCCCAGATTCAGAAGATGTGCAGCTTTGCTCTACTTTGTAATTGAGTTAATTGGGTCACATCCCCACTGACAATCAGACTCTGATGATGTATTTCTGTTTTTATAGATGAAAGAAGTGAGGCACTGTCCATGAATTATCCACAATCTCAGAAAAGCAGGAAAACACTAGTTTTTGCAACAGACATCTTAATGTCCTAGGACCTGGCGCCACGCTGGAGCCGGACCTATCTATGGCCTAAATACGTGTGGATGAGCACTCAACAGCTAGTAAGCTATCCTAAATCTGGAATAGAAAATGGCAAACAAGATTACCAGTGACCCTGATCATATCTCGGGTTCATTTATCTGGAGAAAAAGATGTCCTACCCAGATGCTGTCTTCTTGCTGGTACTGTTTCCAGTTGTGTCCCGTGTCACTGAACAGGAGGCTGTAGCTCGTCACCCAGTCAGAGCTCCCGTATCTCCCCTGCGTGGCCACCGCGGTGACCTCCACTCTGCCCCCCAGGTCCATCTGCAGCCACTGCTGAGCGTTGGAATCTTCCGGGGACCACCCGCCAGCTCCTGCAAGAGGATCGGACACAGAGAGGAGGTGACATCTCACATCGCAGGACTTTGATTCTCAAAGAGAAATGAAACCATGTTCAACTAGGACGTCTTTCCCCCAAACATATTCTGGCTCTGAGCTTAATCCCCTGGTGATTTCTTCACCTGGCTGATAGCCTCATGGTTGCTTTCATGGACTAGGATTTACCTCCAGTGCTGTTTCCTCTATGATTCTTTCTCCCTGCCCTCAGTCATCACCATTTCCATCTCCTGCATCCATAGTGGAATTTCTTTTTTAACCTTTAACATGTCTTATGTCCTCTGCTTCAGTAATATCCCCTTCCTTCTTTCCTTCCTTCCTTCCTTCCTTCCTTCCTTCCTTCCTTCCTTCCTTTCTCTCGTTTTCCTTTTAGCCCCCCCTTTTCCTTTCTCTGCTCATTTCTCTCAAAAGGCATCCTTTTTGGAGACCAGTGTTTTGCTGTGGGAAAATCACTGACTATGCCTCTGAGAGGTTTGTACTCATTCATCCACCAGAAGCACGCTGGGTGCTGAGGAGAGAGGCCTGCGAGGCAAATGAGCAAAGGGATGGGGAAGGAAGGGTTACAAGAGGAGAATGCAGGTGCAGTAGGAGCACAGGAGACAGGTGGACCCAGGAAATCGGGAAGCCTAAGGACAGTGATGTGGAGCTGCAGCCTGAAAGAGGTATGGCTGTTTTCCAGGCAGACGAGGCAGGACCAGGACACGTTGGAGAGATCAGCCAGAGCCAGTGAGCAGCTGCACACACCTCAGAGACAGGGAGAGTGCCACACTCCTGGGCCTGCGTGTGACTCAGGGTGCTGGACACGTAGGGACAGTCTAACAAACACCTTTGGGCCCCCAAATTTCCATATTTGACACACTGGACGTTTGCAGAAAATTAGTATTAGCTCTTCCTTAGTTGGGACACCTGTGGCCTAAGGTTTCTGTTTTTATGTCACATAGGAATAAGTAGGTAACATCCCTTTGTACTGACCCCAGAGTTTACAAAACTTCTGAACCCTGAGCTGGATGCACGATGCCCCATGCCACAAGTGGGTGTGGGGTGGGAGCATCCCTTCTAGCACCTTCTTTGGGGCATCAGACCCGGGAGCTAAGTGGATTTTTATTCAGCGGGGATAGCAATAAATGCCATTTATTTCAGCTTGTGTCACTGACAATCATTTTAATGATGCCACAGTCTACTTTCCTGCTCTCTTCAGATGAGTCAATTGGACTTCTCCTCAGTAACAGAAGTCTGAGCCTGGCTCTAAAATCAACAGAAACATATCCTCGGGTAAGGATTAAAAAAGGAGAAGAAAAGATGTGAGTGGAAGGAAGGTGTGCCATGTGCAGTCCATCAGCCTGGCCCCATCGCCTCTCCTCCCACGGCTGAGGGACACGGTTGCCAGCAAGGTACTGGGTGATGGCAGAGCCTCAGCATGCGGAGGAGAGCATCTGCTATCTGCACACCTGCCGTCACCCAGGACACGGGTGGGAACTCAAAGCTATCATGTCTGTGCCGTTGCACATGGGAATCCATGTGCTGCTGCAGGCCAGCCTCCCCCAGCACACAGACAATATATACCCTGCGGAGTGGCAGCATAATCCCCATAACATGGGTGAGGAACCTGCGGTCCAGCAAGTTCAGAACACCTGGCTCTCAGGCTTCAAGCAGAGCTATTTGAGACTAATATGTAATAGGAAAAAGAATAAAAAAAAAAGCTTCTTAAAAAAACCCAGAAAATTAATAAGGATGAAAGACAATGGGAAGAGGCATTTAAGGAGCCAGATCCCCCAGCTCTGTCTTAACCTCCATGGGCATGGTCTCCAATCAACACCCCCAACTTCTCAAAACTGGCAGGGAATTTTGAGAAGATTTCACACTTGCAAGAAATCTAAAATTACCCTAAAGCTCCTCATTATTTCCACTTCATCTCTCCATTTCAAGAGGTCTTTCTTCTTAGACAAAAAAAAAAAAAGTTGTATAAAATACATGATATTAACAGTATTAAAACATGACAGATAAAAATCTGTATGGTGAGCGGTGAAAGTGCTCCTTCCAAATGACTTCTCTGCTTTTTGCACATAACATATTTTCTACTATCGCCATGCCTCCCTTTTATAAACTGAGGTCTCATTAGCCATATCTATATGGTTTATTGCACAAAGAGTATACGTAGCAATCGGACAGCTGGTGGTATGATATAGGGCTTATGGCTTTTGTGAGACTCTGCAAGCTTTAACTATTTTTTTCTTTCACCCCCAATAATCCAGAGTGAGGCTTCCTAGCTATCCTTTAGAGTGCTTTCCTTCATTTATTCTAATTATTTTTCTCAAAGGCATGTATTATAAGACTTATGTTGAAGATGACACAAACAAAAAATGACAAGGAATTCACCTCACCACCTTTGAAGCATAAAATCACAAAAGGCTGACCAAAAACAAACAAACACAGGGAGAATTGTTACTAAAACAAAGATTTCTTCAAATTTGTCTAAAGAAAAATCACATCTCCCTTTTGCCCACAGTAAAAACCTTAGTTTATTAATCCCCCTGAAATTAACCAGATGGAGTTGTTGCTGTTAGCATTCCTCAACACATCAAGGATTATCCAAACCCAGGAGCCTCAGCCTATGCTCTTTTTTTTTCTTTTTAATTTTTTTATTGATTAAGTTATTACATATGTGTCCTTATCCCCACGTTACCACCCATCCACCCACTCATGCCCCCTGGTGTCTGTATCCATTGGTTAGGCCTATATGCATGCATACAGGTCCTTTGGTTGATCTCTCCCCCTTACTCACACCCTCCCACCCTCCCCTACTTTCCCTCTGAGGTTTGACGGTCTAATTGATGCTTCTCTGTCTCTGGATCTGTTTTTGTTCATCAGTTTATGTTGTTCATTATATTCCATAAATGAGTGAGATCATGTGATATTTACCTTTCTCTGACTGGCTTATTTAGCTTAGCATGATGTTCTCCAGGTCCATTGCCTCTGCTCTTAAACTGAGGAACACTCTGCAAGACAACTGCCAAGGACCTCCCTTCCCCCTGCTGCTGAAGGTGCTCCCTGCACCACAGCTAATGGGCCAGATGCCCAGGGTAGCCATGGTTGCCATGGCAAATACTTTGTTCCTTCTACAGAACAATACACATGCTTTAAAAAAGGATGAGAGTAGCCTGAAGGTACTGTTTACAGTTGCTCTGAGGACACACCATACCCATGCTAGCTTTCTGTTTCTAAATTACTCGCTAAATTGGGGGTGTAACATACGCACAGATACCTGTGTTTGGCAAGTTAAAGGCGTTATGAAGGCAGTGCTGACTGTAATTGTGGCTGCGGTATCAGTGATTATTAACTACAATTCCCATAAACCCCATGGTTTAAATTTAGAGGAATTTAATGGAAATTTAAAGAATCATTTTAATTTGAAAGAAAAATAACCTCAGCTTAGATTTTTGCAGCATAGAGTTTTTTAATAATTTTCAAACGTGGGATATTGAATGATTTGGAGGCTTTATCTAGTGCATCGTTAGCACACCCCAAGCCTCCAAGTTTCCATTCTACATTATTAGACTTTCGGGGAAAAGATGGTAAAAGGAAATGTTGAACTAAAAATGAGGAGACGTGGCTCCAGGCACAGCTGTTCTCCAGAGTAGATCAAATGAGAGATTCTCAAATGGCTCAACCATCAGCAACACCTACAGAGCTTGTAAAGGCCACACCTGCAAACTCCTTGACCTGACCCTTGATAAATGGCTCGGGAACCTAACCTGAGAACCTGAATTTTTAGAAAAGTGCTCAGGACATGCCAGGTGGTTTGGGAAACACAAGATGAGAGAGCTTCTGAGGCGTCAGCTCTAATATTTGACTGATAAGCATCTCATTATTTATGTGTTTAACGGTCAAAATTAATTAAAGATACATCATGTTTTTGATTAATAAAAACAAAAATAACAATATGAAGTCTGAAAGGTTAACATGGTGGTGTGTGTGGGATGGTAGATAAAGAAAAAAATTGACTTCATTTGAGGGAAGGGGATGGAGGATAGGATGCCCAAGGAAAGGCTGCACAGCACTGAGCCAAGGGGGCATGGGGTCGATTCTGGCAGCCCCCAGGAGCTGGAGTTTCACCCTATGCACAGTCACTGGCGGGAAGCTCTTGTCGGTTCTCTGGGGGCTGAGCTGGGCTGGGAATGCAGATGGAATGCAGGTGTGTGACCAGGTGCCTTCAGGAGTTTCCATTCTTTACATGGTCTGTCTCCTGGTATCCAGTGAGTTTTCTCTGGTCTTTTGTTCTCCTGTGGTGGGAAGCTTACCAATGGCCAGTAAGGCTTTATTGCCCTACAGTCCTAACATTTCACTCCTCTTTCTCTTTGTTAGTAATTATTCTTAATTTTTACCATACGCATCTGTTCCTATAGCAGCCTGAAATTGTCACCCATATATTATTTCATAGGACTCAAACCAATCCACTTCAGGGAGCTACGCTAATCCTGAGCAGGGCAACTGGCAATACCTGATCCCAATGCAGATGACTCTCTTGACATAGTTTGGCTATAATCATCTTTAGGGTGTGGTTCACGTTTTATTTTTCCCAAAGATTGGGGGTGGTATGCTGAGTGGAGTTTTTATGTGATACTCAAGTCTGAGGACACCTGTTGAATGACTTATAAGATAAAAGCTGTTCCCGAGGCAGCCACTGCATCACTTGTCTGGTTTTGCTGTTTTTTTTTTGGACCCACAGCTGAAATACAACTGAGGCCTAGATGTCATCTTTAGGGAGGAAAAGTTTAGGGGATCTAAACCACTAGATTAATGATATGAAAAATCAAGAGTCCAAACTGCTTCACTAGTTTTATGGTAGGGGCAAAGAAACTGAGCCACCTGGCTTCCATTGGGTTTGCCTGCAATACCTGTAGACTTGGGTGAATTCCTCATGTTCTTGAGGTCCCCAGTGATATCCTGAAGTTCCTTCCTTGCCATCTCTCAGGAAAAC